ATCTTTTCATGGTCAATTTCACAATTTTATCATAGTACAGGTAACTAAGTAAGAGTTTGTTCTGGTTCAGTTGGTTTACTGTGGAAAAAGGCTTCCCAAGCAGGTGATAACGGAAAAGAAAAAGACAAGGAGTCATTGCAGAAATGTATTTATAATGGTAAATATGAAGAAATACAGCTACTCAGTAGCTTGAAGCCTAAAAGCCTTTTAGAAATAATAAATGAATAATACATTGCCTTATTTTTCTACATTAGACGGCTCCCTTTCTTTTTGTTTTCAGCATCCACTACATTTAATAAAAGTCTCTAGTATATGTCTGATAGTATTGGATATATTATGTTTTAGTTCACAGTTTTGTGTATTTGCAGTTTATTTACTGCTTTGACATTTCATTTTTAAACAGATGTATTTTTTTTATATATTTCTTAATGCATTTATATTTTATATTTAAGATTCTCAACTTTCAGTATTTATTTATCTTTTATTTCTCTTATATGTTTACTGTAAAAAAAACCTGATGCTGTTTCTTCTGTTGCTGACTTGAAAATGTCCCAACATCTCATGAAGCCTCGGAGCAGTTCTGGTCATGATGACACAGCCCTTATTGTTCATATTCACACATCAATATTAAAATGTACTTTGAAGGCCAGCGATCTCATGCCTCTATGTCCAAACAAAAGGGAGGTTTTGAGTAACTTGGAGAGACCAGCATAAATGGTAAAATCAAAGATTGGGATATTCTTTCTATTTGTAAACAAACATGTGTCCTGACATAGCCTGCACGAGGATCTGGAGCATGTGATGTAAGAGCAGCGATGCCCTGAGCTGCATGCAGGTGATCAGTTACTTAGTGACAAATAAAGAACACTTAACCCTTAAGCTCTTAATCTTTCGCCTCATGGCATGGACCGAGGTTAAAAGGGGACAATATTGAGACAGTAATAACCTTAATGAACAATTATTAATGTAAGACATGAAGGGGAGTGTTTGCCGGTGGTAAAACATTAAACATGCTCCATGATTTTGTTAGAACACTCAATTTTGTCCCCAAATATTTATGTTATTTAACAAATCTTAACTTAACTTAAAAGTGAGAGTTAGTCCATTTTGTCATCATTTTCCAACAGTTTTATATTCTTTTTATAAACTAATTAAGACTCAGATGTTTGTTAAAGTCTGGAAAAACTAGCAAGTGGACATTGAGTAAAGATATTTCTGTCAAATTATTGTCATACAACACAATAATGAACTTTAACTATCCACTGTTTATGTTTTATAACTGCTGTGAGTTGCATTTATTGTTGTTGTAGGATAATAAGCCATTAGAATAATAACGTATTTATTCTACAATACCCATTAGGCATTCAACTATTTTTAAAATGCACCACTCAGAAAAGAATATATTCAGAATGAGGTCCCAAAACAACTCATGTTATTCAATAAATCCAATTAGTTTGCCCAGAGATGCTTCATTATGTAAAGGTTGCAAAGGTCTTCACATGGCATGACGCACCAGGCTGGACTTTTGAGCCCCCTCCTCAGTCTTACGGAGCAGAGGGGCCAATTAGAGGATGGGGTGTAAAAAAAAAACAACTTATAGATGAGCATGTCAGGGGGCTTAGTGGGAAGGAGTATATAAGAAGAACCTGGACAAGCACCAGAAAGACACAAACTGACCAGAGAGACACTTGACTGAAGCTGAAACTGTGTGACTGCAAAAACAGGTAAGATGAAACTCTCTCCTTCACTCAGCTTTGGCTAACTTTCAATTGTGCTGTGAGGATTAAGGTTAGAGTTGTACATGAGAGCAGAGCAAACGTGATGAGAAAGCATGACTGTAGATTGATACTGTGAGGTGCACATGTCGTGGCTGTGATCTTTCAATTGTAAAATATATTGTATTTTGTAGACAAAAATATTTGCACTTGTGCTGCTGTTGTTAATCAATTTTGGGAAAAGCTTCAGAAGTCTTCACAAAGCCAAACGTGCTTGTTTTCTTTGGCTTATTTTCCAGATTATAGCTTTATATTTTGTGGTTTGTGAATTTGGATCCTTGTTTTTATACATTATATTTTCCGTTTATTTTACATCCTCTTTTTCTACTGTTTGGAAGTATCGTATAAGTAAAATATAATCAATGAATTACTCACTTTTTACCTTGTAGAGGTTGTGGACTATCTGGGCATTAACTCCTCAAAAGTCACTCCATTTAATCAGCAGGTTTAAGTTTTGCCTGTTTGACCTGTTTTATATTGTTTGGACTCAAATGTTTTATCTTTTTGAGTCTATAAAATAACTAATAACTGAAGTATTGAGGATATTTTCTGAAATTCTTACGTTCAGTTTAGTTCAGTTCAGTCTTTATTGTTCTGTTTGCTGCACAGAGAAAAGATGTCAGACATTAGTAAACAGAATAAAAACCATTAGCTGGAGTGACATGCTTTAAGTGATAACAATAAAACAAGGATTCAACGCATCTCTATTACTAAAATTTTAAATTAGCATGTGTGCATTACGTGACATCATCATGTAAAAATGATGATCTTGTTGCACCTTCCTTCCTCACTATTAATGTAAATGTCCGATCTCTGTTGGTTTGTGTTTTGACTGCCCTTCTGGCCAAAAATTTGATTTAAATCTCAAGAGAGACCATCCTGGTTTAAGAAGGTAAAAACAATTAAAAAGAGATGTTGTCGCTATGTGCAGGAGATGTGTTGACCCTCACTAGAACATCACACAGATATATTATACAGATTTAGTTGTGGGTAATGAGAAGCAGGGGCATACTGTAACTAAAGTGAAATTTAACACTAACTGGTTAACTGAGACTGATGACATTATTTGTTTGTGTGTTCAAAGATGCCATCAGTGAGATCAAAGTATATTTCTGGTAAAGTCCAGAGCACTGCTCAGCTTCCCTGTAAAATAAGACCTATAGCTGAGGTCAGACAAAGGTCGGATCAAAGCAGATTGAAAATTAGCTGTTCAGTGCAAAATCTCCTTATACTCTGGGTTCATTACAACATAAAGACTAACTTTGGAATTAGGTGAACTTAGTGATATTCTGGTCTCATTACCAAGTCTGTAACTTGGCCAAGAATAACCTAATCTTTAAAGCCAAGGTATAAAAATAGACAAAGCTGTTTGTGTAACTGGGTCCTAAGGAGCTGTATGGCAGCTTTAATCTATAATTTAATCTATATATTAACCAAACACAGTGGGGTTTAGAGGAGGAGGAGGAGGCGGAGGAGGAGGAGGAGGAGGATGGGTCTTACACATAAAGACTGACTGTTGATTGTTTCTCTCTCAGTACATAAAAGATGGCAGACACAGCTGTTGCAACTCCCGCCGACAAGAAGGCACCTCCCAAGTTCAGCAGAGGGCTGCTCGTACCTTCAAGAGCAAGGCCCCTAAACCAGGACAGAAGGGGTAAGCTGGACAAAAGTTTTCCATTGACTTTACATTGTCTAGTCCAGTCTAGTCTAGTCGGGTGAAATACATTTGTCTGACAGCCAAAGTTACTTTTCAGATTAGGATTTTACTTAAAAATCATATCATAATCTTATAAAATTATTTTCACATTGTAGTATTGGTACTTAGTAAAGGTTTAGTTGACTTCTTTCCATAGCTGAAAGTCACATATCAAATAAAAGAAACCAAGTGAAACATTCCCAAGAAATTAAGACTCGTTTCTTTTTCAGATTCGGAGACGACATCCCCGGCATGGAGGGCCTTGGCACAGACATCACAGTGGTTTGCCCATGGGAAGCCTTCGGGGACATGGAGCTCAGCGACCTGGCGAAATATGGAATTGTGTAGAAACCCGACCGTGTCTTCATCCCGGCTATTTTACCACCCTGCACTGATTTTCCTTTGCCCGTCCTCCTTTCTCGCCTTGTTCTCCTTCCCTGACCTGATGTCTATTGTTGTGTTAGGCCCATGTAGGTTTTGGGAAATATTGCCCAAAAAGAAAACATTATTCCCAAAGCTATTTAAAACTGAAAATTGGCAAATGTCATTTTTGTGGGTTTGATCACTGTTATCACAGTATATCACCACTAAACCTTTTATCCCTCTTATCCCCACCCCCTTTGGAGCTCCCTTTTTATTGTACAGCTGCTTATGAGATATATACACACACACACATTTTTATTTTTATGAACTATTGGTGTAAACTTGTGAACACTATCAAATGGGAGTGAAAGTTGACTAGAAGTGTCAATAAATATTTTCCTCAAAGAAATGTTGTCTTCTTTAAGCACACAGTTTAATTTTGTGGGAATTCATCCTAAGTAAAATAATGGAAGAAAAACTATAACAAATACCAGCAATAATTGCATAATTAAAGCTGCTATAATAAATATTAACAGACAGGCTAGTTACCATGCTAACACGCTATAGATGGCGATGTTGATAAACATTAAAGGTGTTAAACATTGGGATGTTAGCATACATAAATGCATAAACAGTAGCAGCCGCCTTGACTGAGTAATGTGAAAGGTGTCACTCATCAGCATTTTTGACCTCGTTTGGATTTTACAGCCTGCAGCTTTACCATTTTGGTTCATTGTCAATGTGGTATTAAACATTTAAACTCTGATAAACAGTGTATGCCAACGCCACCTGCCCGGCATGAAACAACAGAAAAAGTAAGCATCTAGCTGGTGATATAATGGAGCATTGAGCTTCTAAAGAGCCAGATTTTCTCTCCGGTGTTGAGGGACACAAAGTAGAGACGAACAGTCATTCAGGAGGTGATTAGAAACACAAACCCTTATGTTGTTCCAGATCTGCCGGATGTAAATAAGCAACTGCTGGTATAAGTTTCCATATCAATCTAAAATATGATATGTTGTGTGTACAGCTTGTTTCCACCAAAGAAATCTGTTCCTGATCAATACTAAAAATTTTAAAATCCGCACTTTCTGTGTTTGTACAATAATGTGAGAAACATCCATTTTACTAAACGAATAGAACAGAAAAAGAAAACAACCTGAAAGCTTGATCACAACAAAACATTTTTATATAAAACATTTTATATGGACATTCAATAACAAAAAAACATAATGGCAGTCAAGAGGGATAGACATGACAGAGGGAAGAGGACTGGTCATTGAGATAGCAACTATGAAGAACGGCCACATAGTTTACTATAATACAGTGGCAAGAAAACCACGACAGGAAAATGAAGCTGCCACTTGTTCTTTTGTGCGGCAGCCATTTTGTTTGTCAGCAGGCCTTTTTGCCGAACATCACTGTGCTCTTTGTTGTGTTAACTAGCTTCAAACTGCTAGCTGCCGGTCATCCTAACATAGAGTTTAGTGGTAAAGAAGAACGCAACTGGGCTCGGCTGCTCAGGAGTCAAATATGAAAGACACAAGATTCATGCAAAACTTTTTTTTTTTTTTTAACTTGACAATTATCGCTCATGCTGGTTTGTCCATGCCTTCAGTGGCTTTGTTAAGTCCATTGTTGTGTATTTTTATGTAGCACTTCTCAAGTTGGGAACCAGAACGTGCTGGGGACTGTTAGTTAGCATCTTTGGCTAGGTTTTCTTTTTTCCCCCTTTATTTTTGTCCAGAGCACATTCGATAGTAACTTGGAATTGTTTAATAAGAAATGTTAAATGTCATGAGAAAACCCAACAGCAGCACATTTAATAGGAAAAAAAAAAACATCTTATTGACCTGCATGTTTTTCCTAGTGTGAGAAATGGAAAACACAACGGTAGCTTAGAAAGTAGTTAATGGGTAAAACAAAAAAAACAAAGAAACGCCCCATTTAACACACAACTTAGATCATATCCCACAATGACATTTTTACCAAGTTGGAATATTATCCTGCTTAGGTATGAGAGATAACACTTTCAGACATTTTACTAGATATCTTCAATCAAACCTGGAGCGACCGCACTGGCCAAGCTGACAGATTTAACCACTGAAATGTAAGGAGTCCGCTTGAAAACAACAAACAATCAAAATAAACGGAAAACTCAAAAAAAGGAGAGGAACACAGTTGGTTTTTTTTTTTTTTTACCAAAAGTGCTACAGACCTAATTCATTCCTAATGTCTCAGTCACCTGCATAAATATGGACACAAAAAAGAAAGGGGAAAAAATCCAACTGTTCCTGTATAGTTTGAAATATAATCAGTTGTCATGCTAACGGATTCCTATGGTCAACCCAGAACAGAACAAAACAAAAACAAATAAAACAGTAGCCGGGATTAATTAAACTAAGAGGATAAAAGTTTGGTAGTGTTACACGCATACCTCAGGTACGCTCTCGGCCTCTCGGCTCAAGATCTTTACTCCATAGCAGAAGGGAAAAAAAATTTTACTTTGCACCTTACTGGAGAAGGAACAACACTTACTGATATATATATTTAAAAAAAAGTCAAACAGAAGATGAAAAAGAAGTAAATAAAGACAGCAATAGGATTATCAAGGATTATGATAATAACAATAACAAAGATAATATATTTATACATACGGCAGAAAAATGTGCTTTCTACAAATCTTTGGAACAAAAACAAAAGCCAAAAAAAGCCACGTTTTGGAAATATAGAATACAACAGTATAGAAATATGCACAATAGTAAGGTGTTTTGCATTTAAATATTTTCTATTAACTCACCGACAGAATCTCTCTCTTGCTCAGTAATGGCTGCTGGCAGCATCTCGAACACAATTACCAACTAAAGTATGTTTCAGGAAGACTCATTCAGATGTTGGACTTTGCTCTATAAATGATGGAGCGTGTGGGGAAAATCCAAATGATAAATCTCTACATTAAAGGATCAACAAGTACTTGAACCTCGGGGTTGTGGGTGGATAATTTAGTTTGAATCTAAAGCTAAAATCAATCTTTGAAGTGTAGTGCTGAACGTTTTGTAGTGTTTGGTGGTGAAATCCTGTGCGTGAGGAGGATGATCTGAGACTATATATGTGTCACGAAGTCAAAAGGTGGAATATTTTTAAACACAGATGCTCATTTTCTGATTTTCAACCCCAAGGTTCACTGTTGAAACTACGTGCCCCATAACAGCAGCAGCTGCTGCTGAATCAGACAAAATAATGGTTCAATAAGAATAATAATGAGAATAATTACAATAATAATAATAATAATAATTTGGTAACTTTTTTCTCTAAACTAATTTCTTTGCATATCATAACAATTTTAAGTTTAAAGGTTCACCATTTCCACATACTAAGAAAACTTGAGGTAAGGAACAGCTCTAATAACCCTCCCTCCTTCAGCTTTCGGACGTGATTTCTGTAGCGTTATAAACCGTCACATCATCTCTCCAAGCCTCCATGTTCAGTCTCCCTCTACCAGAACACGGCAAGAATGGAAATCCTCTCTCATTACTATCCGCCCACGTTAAAGAGGACTTATAAAAATCCACCAGTGGGTTTTATTTTTTTTTTTAAATCATTTTAGTGACTCATCATTCTGGTTCAAAATGTTTTTAGGTGCTCTTTCGAGGCACCTTCCTGCTTCCTACCGCTCCGACGTTTTGTGGGCGCTGTGATTGCTCGTTTCCCTCTCTTTTTCCTTTAATGTTGAGTGTGTGCAGGCCACAGAGCACTTTCTCATACATGGTTGACAGCTATTTAAATGTCAGTTATCCACATACAGCCTTTGGAAGAACATCTGGCCTCCATCCCGAGTCTTGTGCTGCTGAGTGCCGAGAGAATAAGAAGGGGGGAGGAGGGGGGGGACTATAATACAGCCGTGCAATAGGGAAGGTGGCCATTTTGAGTCTTTATATTTTTTTTTTCTTATTTTTTTTATGCAAAGGCCATCCGTCAGTCTTTAATACAGCATTCCTCTATTTCTGTAGTAGCGTATATAAGAAAACGTGGGACTGCTCAGGGGTGGGATCTTGAAATATCTTTGTTGTGGTCGACTCCACACTTTAAAACTGGATGCAGTCCAACTCCACGACAACAGAGGGAGCTCTTTCAGAGTAAATCAATGGAAGAGAGGAGCTCCTGGGAAATGTAGTGTCTTTAGTAAGGGGCAAATCTACTGTAGCCTCCCCTGTACAGTGTGGCCTGTGAAAAAACAAAAGGCAAAATTTAGTAAATGAAATCTTTTTCTATTCCTCAGCTGATCAGTCTGGTGGTATATTTTTTCCTTATTGTTAATAAATTCCATAAAAAGACAACAATGAATTTATTCTACTAAAAAGTATTGTCTGTGAACGTGGGGCCGAGACCCACTGACAGGAAAAGGGAAGTTGTAAAATATTGAGAATATGACTAACACAATGTTGGTTGCGCTCTTTTCATGGGAACTGTTGACAGTAAGATTATCACTTGCCTTATCCTTTGAATGCATGCCAATATTAAGCTTTAGGGACTTACCATGGCTCCAACACCGTAGGCAGCTGGGGCGAGGGCAGCATGGTAGGGGTCTGCTGTGTAAACTCGGCCGTAGCTAGAAAACACATCAAACATGAGATATTACATTATATTTTAAAAGAAGAAAAAAAGGGCACTATGCTCTAACACAAGGTGACTCACATACTGTGACTGCAGGAGGAAAGAGGGGTTGTTGTTTTTTAAAATTCACTTGCTGGTCTAAGATCTGTGTAGGACTGAAACCCCAAAACTATATAACTCATGATCTGGAGAGAGTTTCTAGAGAACTAGAGTTCTTGTCCTGTACACTAATGTAATTCACAAGTAATTTTTCATCATAACTGTATATCCTGTGTAGTATCTCTTCATTGGCATTCAGTGCAATAGAGAGTTGTCTCAAAAAGTAACTGTTTTTAAAGCTCTTAAACAGGCTGATCCCTTCTTAAATCCTGGACTTTTAATCACTAATATTTCATACTTAAAGGCCATTTTTGTTTTGTGGCATTTGGAATTGAATGTCCCGGTCTATATCTTAGATTTTAAACCTTGCATTGATACTCGTACAGCACTAGTGTTGATCTTAAAAGCAAGTTTATTAAATGTGCTTTTTAAATAAAGTAACTACTTAGTGACAGAGGCTGCAGGCAAGTAGGCAACATCTAAAGACACATCAGAGGAGGCTTCAAGTAGGGCTGGACTGCTCACTCACCTGTCACTGTAAGCTGCCGCTGCAGCCGCCGCTGCTGCAGGAGTTGCTACTGCAGTCGGCTGGGCATAACGATACGCTGCATAGCCACCCTGTGATTTGCCGATGACGGGGGGAGAGAGAGGTGGAGGGTAGAGGGTAGAGTGTGTGGTAGAGGAGAAGGAAACAATGGAGGGAGAGGCGGGACGAAACAGAAAGAAGAGTAAATTCTTGTTAAACGTTTGCTGGATTTCCTCTACACACTAACTGACTAGCAGTGAATCTAAAGGGTTACATTGTGAGAAAAACTGCTGAGAAGAGAGCGAAAGATTAACAAGCAGACAGTCAGCAAAACTGGCTAATCTGGTGCAGTACAGCATTCACAAAGATGTAGCTCAGGCTCTGTGTGGGTCTCTCCCTCCATGACTAATGTGGAAAAAATATCTTTAATTTTACATAATGTGCTTTATTGTTTGCAGCGTTCCCCTGGGCAACATTAAAAGTGCATTATCTCTCCCACTGTGAGTTGGACATGGAGGGAGAGAGAGTTCATAACCATAACTGTGCCCCACCCCGGTTCCCCTACCAAAAACACACAGTTAAAGAAAGGGGAAGGGGTGGCAAGATGATTGTGTCATTATTTATGTTTGGATGGACAGCTGATGAACAGACACAAAAAACTACAGGTGTAAGAAGACAGTCAGCCAGTCGGATTAAAAAAGGGCGCACACACACACACCGCTCACGTGGCCAGCAACCAATCACTGAAAAACACAGCATGCTTTCCCAAACTCAGAACGTACAGTGTATTAGGCCAAACATCCCTATAAAACAAAAACACACACCGCTGCATTCTACCCTAAAGGATCAGTCACGACCAAGTCCCCGCATTCAGGACCACACAGTTGCTGCTATGGGAGGAAGGCTGGACTGGGGGAGGTTGGGAGAAAGGAGGATGATATGTATAGTTGAAGAGAGAGAGGGTGTAGGAGTGGTTAGTGATTGAGAAAATAGGAAGGTAAAGAGCCACAGCGCAAGAAAAGATTAGAATAATAAAGGGAACAGAAGAAGAAGAGATAGGAAAGTGCCAGGTGACACAAATGGTTTCAATTATTGTCTGAGGAAGGAGTGATATGAGCATAGCGACGTACAGAAATGTTGAATATGTATTGACGGTATATAACCGTAAAGAGAAAAACAGGAGGGGGTGTCGGGGTAGTGCATAAATAAAAGGAGAGAGGACTTGGGGAGGAGTCAGCCTTGTAAGTATGTCTTGCATGCCGACACTTGATTCAGTTAGCATGGCCACAAGGGAAACACGATAGGGAAGATTATACCTCAGGACAAGGGGTAACTAGAGAAATGCACTGCTGATAGAAACTGTCCTACATCCCTCTGAGTGCTGGATAAGTCTAGTGTCCTATTTGTTTCTTGTCCTGTTTGTATTTCAAGCCTGGTAATGCAGCTTGCTGACACATTATAATTTTCACTAATGTGCATTAGACTTTGTAAAGTTTGTGTACAATAAAATGTTGAATTTTTGAGGAGAGTATAACAACATGACGACATGCCTGGGCTTGAAAAATGCTTCGTCACCTGAATAATCTCAGTTTTGGACAATTGTTTACTGTTATTTAACTGATGAAAATGTCAAATAATATTCTAAAATGTTAATTTTGTGTTTGCCTCAAGAACACAATGAAGTGAATCAGATTCATAGATAAAAAATTTTGCTGTGACGTTCTGGTCACCTGAGGCCAAAATAACAAAAAATGCTTTGTTTTCTTACATTGTTGGTGCACAAAATATACGTAGTGGATGAATTTATGAAATAGACTTTATCACAAGTGCAAATTTTGGTTAAATAAATTGAGCCACTGCTTAAGTATTCACCTAATCTACACTCAAATGTACATCCATCTCTCCTGTAGATATGTTTCAGTTGTATGTACAGAAGCATATTCTTCATTGAATTCAAATTACAACTGTTCTCCCCCTTCCGCAACTCCACCCATGTCAGAATCCAGTGAGTTAGTAGAAGAAGACAGAGAAGGCATTTCAATCTCAGATGGTCAATAATGTCTAGCAGCACGCAGTCATTGGAGACGAGGAGGATGCACACTGGCTCTCACACAGAGTGTGTAAACCCTACCTGGGGCAATCTGCCACTAATGTCCTGAAACACTAGTCTACAGAGAGAACAGAAACAGCTATTGTCAACCTGGTCGCACACACACACACACCACACACACACACAGACACACACTCATAATCACATTGGTACAAACTAACTCACAAATGCTCAGAGACAAACCCTAGAGGAGTCTACTCATGAATGACCACTTTGATGAAAATGTGTGTGTTGGGCCGCTGAGTGCTGTTTTTCTATTTGTATGGATAATTGAAGGCACATTTTATGAGATTGTACATTATGAAAAGTGATGAGTCTAAATTATTTGTACTTTATAAAGAAAGTAAGATCATTTAAGTCGGGAAAACATAAAATGTCTACATGAGATGAATCAAATCACCCACAAGTACACGTCTCTATGGGTTTGGTCTTTGCCATTTCACACTTGAAAACCCACAGGCAAAAGAGGGGAAAACGTAGGTGAGGAGTGAGGCAGTAGAGGAGAGAGGGTTATACTTACATAGAGATCAGCTGCACCGTAAAAGCCATCCTGATAGGCCATCACACTGAGAGAGAGAGACGAGAAAGGAAAGGAAAAGGAGAGAGTACAGAGGAGCGGTGGTAGAGAGTCGAAACAAAACAAAACAAAACAAAAAAAATGGTGTGATGCGCCACCATGTGGGCATGGCAGAAAACAACAAACAAGAGTGACGATTGAGGGAGAGAGAGGTGAGAAGACGGTGCCAAACAGATTGTGAAAAAGAGAAGAGAAAGAAGGGTGAGATTATTACACACCGTGCAACATGCAAGACAAAATACCACCTCTTTGTATACAAATGCTGATTTAATGGTGATACTACGGTTACTTCAGCCACTGAGACAAACTATTAAAAGAAAAGACTACTCAATTTGATCCTCAAGTATCCTATCATTACTTTTGATGTACAAGGAAATGGTATTTCAGCTCAGCAAACTGTCAATATCTCAATGAAAATATATTCAAACACACAGCATGCACAATTATGAATTACCATTTTGTAACTAAGTGAAGGCATGCATTTAAGAAGGCAGTTATATGCATAACATTATGTCTAGTTTTTATCATCAATAGCGGTTTACTAGCTATCAGTTTTTATTTGTTTGTGTGTGTGTTTACCCCGGGTAGGTAGGGATGGCAGGTTGTGGCACAGCTGCCCTGACTGCACTGTAGACAGGCCGGGCACGACCCCGCAGATGAGCGCCTCGAAAGGTCGCAGCGGTGGAGGCAGCTGCTGCTGCTGCTGGGTACGGAAACCCCGGTACTGAGAGAGAGCGTAGAAAGAACAGCGTCTTAAAATAAACTTCACGATTACAATATTATTTGTGCATCTTCTCTGCATCAGTTTCAGTATAAAGCTAAACCTTGTTGTCATACCTGTATAAAGTTCAGGACTGTACATGGCTCCAACCATGGGACTCAACTTCCATCCAGCTGTAGTAAACACAAGAAAATTTTTATATTTAAAGCAGAATTCAACAGAAAATATCACTGCAGCAATCAGAAATGTTATGACTTGATCTATGCTGTTCATTTTATTGTTCATTGTAGAGAGAGGATGTAAAAAGCTTCCTGACTGTTTGTCTGCAGCGCATCTGTGACAGCATTCATCAGTGTCACTACCAGGACAGAACAATACAATATTATCATTAGGGATAGAAAGATTATCTGTCTGGACAATTATCGGATCTGATATTCAGCATTTTTCCAATTATCTGTATTTTTCTATGTGATTGCCAATACAAGAATTTTAAAATGCGCTGCTTTGGCTATGAGGCAGCTGCCTCTCTTTGTCTGTAGTTTCACTCAATGTTGCACCCACAGCATCGGATTTGTTACACGTCATTTCATAATATAATATATATATATATATATATATATTTATATTTGTATTTATATATTTATATATTTATATATTATGTTATTGTTTTACAAGTAAGTTTTGTTGTCCAAAAATAATGATTCCAAGAAAACAGCGATCAAAAACGTAAGCCTGTCTTTCATATTTTTATATGTAGTTCCACAAAAATTGTACATATTGGCAACCAAGGCTTTTATCTATGTGATCATATAAATTTTAGCAATATTTCCCAGGCACCACATATGAAACAAAGAGGTAGTTGTTAAGTGCAGTTCAAAGTGCATTACCGTATGGCAGAGTTGCGAGGCCCTCTCCGTTAGAGTAAGGTGTGGTCATCTTCTTGTTCGTCATCACTCTGGCTGTGGCATTATTGACCTGGACACCAGACAAAGTGGTCAGGGGCTAAGTCAACCCAGTTTAACATGTAAACAAGTATTGAGGAAGTGTACAAATTATGCAGGATTCAATCACATAATAGTCTGTGTTTTGAGTTTTCATATTAAACTTTAAGTGTGAGGCGTCATTAAACTTTAAACAGTTTTTTTTTTTTTTACTTATGACAGAGGTTAATTCTGTTGATGAGCAGCGATGGTATTTGATGCATGCGCTTCTTTTGAAGGAGAAAGACATTGAAAACAAGGATCCTGGTGAGTAGTCAGGCAGTTTTGCACACAAACAATGCAACCATTGGCACACAGAACGAAGAAAAAACAAAATATTTCAGAACAAAAGCATTCAAAAAGAAATCCAAGACCATTATATTGCTACCTTTAAAAAAAGGAGGGAAAAAGAAGGTGAATTAAGCGGCAGATTTATCAGTTCAACACAATGCAAAAAACATCAATCGAAGAGTTCATACACAAATTACACGCAGCCAATCAAGAGCGCATCACATCACCAGAGGTGAGCAAAACTAGCCAATCAGCAAGCATCAGATGCAGCAAGAGACCAATCAAAAAAGGTTGGCAGCCCTCCCAATCAAATACACATCATACAGAAAAAAGAGGACGGGAGGGAGAGAGAACGACAGAGAAAAGACAGAAATATAGAGGGATGCAGGAGGAGGAGCCAGTCCACATGAAAAGACACAGAAAAACACATACATGATGTGGAGGAGAGAGAGGCAGAGAGAGAGAGAGAGGCGGCGGGGGGTGTGAGAGAGACAGAAAGAGAGGCAGAGAGAGAACTAACTTGGCCGCTCTTCCGTGTTATTTGTGGCGTCTCTCAGGGTATTTTACTCAGTCTATTGCTCTCCATAGACGTGGATTCTCTCGGGATATTTAATAAAGCCTTAATTCCCCACTGTGATAGAGCCACTCGCCCGTTTGATCTGACTTTAATATGGGGAGAGAGAGAGAGGTAACTCGGAACAGCTGTTTCTGCCAGTCAAGTCTTCAGACTGTTGAAATGGAGAAGGGGCAGCAGCAGCTCTAATGATGCTCAACTGTGACATCTCTTAACACTTGTGTCCACTCCTTTTGTGTGTGTGTGTGTGTGTGTGGGTGGTTGGGGGCAGCTAGACGTGCAGGGAGGGTTGTGCTTGTCAGAGCTAGAAGTGGTGATTTGATAGGTGCAGCTGCAGCCAGCATGTCCCCTGCATTTCAATGAGTTGTGCACTTGGTCTGTTCACTGCCCTCCAACTACGTCTCTCCCTGTGTCTCTTTCTCGCCTCGCTTTTTAACTCTTGTCCTACTCTCACTTACTTGCCATCCCCCTGCTCATTTAGCAGTCTCTCCATCTTTTCCAGACAGATTTTCACTTTTTC